AATAAATAATTATTAATTAATATTTGCAATATTCATATTTGAACTCAAATTCAAACTATAAATAATTAATTAAACCTCGAATTGAACTGCGATGAATATAGAATTTTTATGCTCAAACTTGACCTGATAAAGTTTTGAATGTATGCAACTTAAAACTAAATACTATAATTTAGAATTATTTAGCATGTAATTGGCTCGATATGCATTTGATTTTTTTAAAATTTTAAGATTGTTAGTTTATTTATGAATTGGGTTTAGATCAAATTTTAATTTGGACAAACTAGTATCCATATCCAACCTGAAATTCAGTACAGATTGCAACATGGCTTGAGTTTTGTCTTTTGCTCTGTATGCAAGTGTTGTGTTTTTTCTTGGTTTCATTATATTTTTTTTTCATTATACATCGCATGAGTTCATTAATTGATCATTTATCTTTATATATGTAATATGAATTTTTTTAAAAAAAAAAAATTATTATTGCGAGGAAGTATTCAAGATATAGTGCTACAAATAAGAATTTTGACACCTCAAACTAGATCGAGCCATGATGTCCCTTATTTGGATGATATATTTATATACTTCCTATACTAATGAACCTCTCATACGAGAATTTCATGCTGGAGCTGCTTGCTAATATTTTATATGAAGTGACGAATTAACCATTAATTGCTTTCAGCAAATTGCAAACATTTTTATGTTGATCAACCAAATCGTGTATGCTAATGAATATTTTTGTTTTTATAAACATCATACTAGGATGATTAGATCGCTTTCATTACTTGTAGAAACACAACAAAGTGTTGATATTAATAACTATAAGTGGTTTGTATTTTCTAATTGCATGATCTATGTTCGTTTACCCCAGATGCAAGAGAATTCTTTCCTGTTATGCTTTATAATTATCACCATTTAGATTGAGAATATCACACGAGTTATAAGATAAATTAACAGGCTATAAAATTGCAAAAATAAAATTTAAACTACGTGTTTATGTTGGAATTAAGGAATAAATAAAATTTTATATTTTGCCAATGTAATTCATGCTAAAATTGAATGCAGTAACATAAAAATTACAAGTGAACTCAGTTTTTAATTCAAGCATGTTAGAGTATACTGTATGATAGAATTATCAAATTATATACTTAATTTATATTTTTGTGAGTATATATTAAGAGAATAGTTTGATATTTTATCCCAAACCTTATAATAAAATTATCAAATTATGTAATTAATATACAATTCTCGTGGGTATATTATAGAAATAATTTAATATTTTATTTTGATCAATTATATAAACATGGTGAAAAAATCACGTGGGATAGCATTTATTATATCCAGTGAAAATAACTATAATTAATGTCTATCATTATGTATGTAATATTAACATGGAATGGTATATAATTTTATTTAATTAAGTATGCCGTGGTTAATCCCTAACTATTTAAAGCTATATAGATCACTCGACATCAAGTTAATGTATAATTTTATATAACATAAAATAATGTGTTACCTTTAAAAAGTCACAAAAAAAAACTAAATAAAACAAAAATAAAGTCATGAAAATAAACAACACAAAAATCAAAGTGAGTCATGTGAATTAAAATCGCATTGCCTAAAGGAAAATAAAACGGATAACCCAGTCATTGAGTGATTATAAATAATAAATAAGTTTTTATAATGATTTATAGTCATACTAAATATCAAAACAACCCATGAAATAAAAACCCTAAAATATTCATTTATGACACAAATAGTTTTCAACATTTAGAGGTGAGAAAAAAACTAAAAATTTGAGAAAATTAGAAAAAAAAAATTGAAAAATCAAACCATAAAAAAATTAATTAAACTAATTAAAATTTTTAAAAAATCGACCAATTCAGTTTTATAAGTCTGGAATTGAAAAAAATAAACTTAGCCAAGCTCAAAAATACATAGTCAAAACCAAGCCAAACCAGAAAAAACAGAGCCAAAACAAAAAAAATTGAGTTAAAGTGGTTTAAATCGATTTTTATTCTAAAATAATCAAATCAAAACAGAGTCAAAACCAAGCCAAACAAAAAAAAACAGAGCCAAAACAAAAAAATTGAGTTAAAGTAGTTTAAATCAGTTTTTATTCTAAAATAATCAAATCAAAACCGGTCAATTTGAACTGATTCTAGTTTAGTTTGGGGTTTTTTTAAAAAAGAATAATTTGATTATTTTTTTTATAAAAATCAAAATAAACCAAAAATAATCAACTCTACCTAAACCATGTTAACAACAATTATTTTATTTGCTACTGGGTACTATATTCATGGCAATGATTGAAACTCATTCTACCACAAACCAAACTTTAAAGCCATAAATAAAATCAAGTTAATTATTAATTCAATTTGGAATCAGGTTGTTTTTGAGATTTTAAAAGCATATAAAATAAGATGGAAAAAAAATTAATTAACTACTAAAACTTTCATGACAAATATAATTAAGTAGATTAATTAATTAGTTTGAGCCAAATTTTTTTCATGTAAATATATCAATATGGATACCAAGAAAAGGGTATTATTATATACTATGATATTAATTATTAAATTTGATAAAATCAAACATGTTTCCAAAATAATTTATATTTAGATTTTACATGAGAAGATAAATAGATTAAAATATATTTCATGTCATTAATAAAAAACGCTCGCATATTTTTTGTTTTAAGATTTTGATGCTTCCAGGTTTTAACACATTCAAGATTTAAGGATATATTTTTATAGCTGAAAATCTACGGGAATTTAAAGACCAAAACCCTGTATTTATATAATAAAAATCTCATTAAACTCATAAATATATAATTTTATTGTCATTTAATATATAGAAATTAATTAAATAACATAAGAGTTAATTTACTGCAACAAATTAAAGAAACCAGGTCTCACAATAATATGGATAACTTGGACAGCGAAAACTAACCCCAGTACGCACGTAACACTATCGGGCAGTGCTCGACAGTTTGACTGATATTTTGGATTTCTCGAATCGCTTTAGGCTATAATTTCCCCTTCTCAGCCATCTCATCTCGAGGGAAGCAGGTGGCGGGCATACGACAACTAGCTAAATCTCCCTTTATTCTCCTCTTCTTTTATTGACCAACCCATATAAAACTAGCTAAAGAACAAGTCCCGCAGGTGCTTTGATTTGTTTGTTGATCCTTTCAAAGATCCCAAGAAAACATATTTAAAACACGATTTGTCTGAACACGAAGCTGGTTTGTGGAAAGTTTACGGGAGCTCGAAGGTGTAGTTTTTTAAAATATTTTCTGTTTGAATATAATTTTTTTTATTTTTTAAAAATTATTTTTTATATTTATATTAGAAAAAATCAAAAAAATATTAATTTAAATAAAAAAATTATTTTTTAAAAGACTTTTAAAATATAAAAAAACAAAAACAAGTTTTTTTTAACCATAAATGTTTGGATTAATTTATGTGTATATCTTTAAAATACTTTTAAAATATAAAAAAACAAGTTTTTTTTAATCATAAATGTTTGGATTAATTTATATGTAAATCAATTAATTTATTAAAACTTTAAAATTAAAAACTAGATAAGTTTTCTATAATTATAAGATTTATAATATTTAATTGATGATCTAAATAACAACTCGACAACATATCCAGTTTATCTACTTTGAAGTAAAACAACGTTTAACATTTCAACTTGGTGTTCCTTGTGCCCCCAGAACATGGGTCATGTTGTTCCAAGCTCCTAAATTTTCTCTTGTTTTGGACGAGGGCAGTGCCTAGTCAATGTATCGCGAGTTGAAGAATGAAGGATAAGCTATTTCTGTTAACGTTCCTAAAGATCAGAGTTTTTCAATATAGACTCTATAGTTTTCCAAAAGTCTCAATGTCACCCTTTTCTTATGTTTTCTTACAAGACAAAGTGGATTGATAGAAGACACGAGGTTGTCTTAAGTTAGTTTCTGTCCTGAAACAGAATAAATAAATAAATAAATATATTTTGGTTGCAGGGTTAGAGGTGAGTATATAGAAATAAATGTATCTAAGACAGTTGTAAAATAAATTTTTATAATTAAAAAAACATAAAAATATCATATTTCTCTGAACTATCTTTATATCTTGTACCCGTAATATAATAGTATCCAGACGTACGCTGCTAAACAAAAAGAAGCAAAAGCAAGCTCGTACAGAACACGAGGGCACTAGAAAAAGGCAAGCTTAAAAGGGAATAATAAGAAAATGGACATGAAGGATTGCATATCCAGTATGATTATTTTTTATTATTTATTTTCTTATTATCTCTTAAAACATCATACACGTGTGACAGTATTCTACGAAAAATAATACTATTTTACAAAAAAAAAATCGCATATTGGCATACTTTTTTGTGGCTAGAATATAGTTACAATACAAAATAGTTGAAAATATATAAAATCTCATTTACGTGTGACAGTATTCTACCAAAAAATAATTTTATTTTACAAAAAAGTATTATCACATTAAATGGGATTTTAGATATTTTCAATTATCTTATATTGTTGCTTTGTTTCTTGTCATATAAAAAGTATGCCTACATAAGATATGTAGCTGAAGAAATGATAACACTATTAAGAGTTATTTCAAGGGCAAAAGGGATGATTTTGGATTTTTTTTTTAGTTGTACAAGGCTTTTTTTAAATATTATTAGCATGTAATAATTTAAAGGAAGACATGTATCATAAACTTTAAACTATACCACGCTAAAATGAAATATAGTGAAATTACAGGGGGTAAGGTATAGTTTATCCAAGAAAGAAACTTCCAAGAAAGGACCACGGTAGGGTTTACAAATTAGAGGTGCATGAGCTAAGGCAATGACGAAATACCTTGTGGTTATTTCTTAGTGGCCAGATGACTCAAAAACCATAATATTAAGACAAAGAAACCAAAACCGCTAACTGTGTGCGCGGCAAGTAATTAACCATGGTTAACTAACAGTGTTACCACTTGTACTGGCCTACAAATACCCCACCACCACTCTGCTCGGTTGCTGGAACTGGTTGAGTAGCTAAGAAGGAACCGTGTAGTGACTCTGGTCCTAAAAGGTTAGAACTCTGATCATCCAAACGTATAGGTTTCTGTACTGTATCTTCATTGAATATCATAATTCTTGCTTATTCTGGTACTTTTTGTTATTTTTAAAGATTTAATTTATCGTTTTTTTGGTTGATGGGAAGTGGGGGAGAGAGAAAGGAAACGAAAAGAAACTTTGTTGCTTTAAAGCAAAAGGGTTTATGTTAACAAAGCGAATGGATTGAGTGGAAATGACATTTTTTGCTTTGGCTGATCCTTTTTTCTTCTTGGAAACTGAGACATGATTCTTGATTGTTTGTCGAGAACTTCGTTTTCTTTGAACGTGATCTTGGGTTTTTGATTTTGTGATTCAGATTCACCGCTGGATGCTCTTGCAAGCAATTCCAGGTAATTTTTTGACCCTTATTAATACTGTTGTTATTATTATTTCTGGCTCAGCTATGCTGATCGTTTCCTGTTGCAAATCTGGCAATTGCTTTAGCAAACCATTTGTTTGATTGATTAGAAAATAATGTAAAAGTTATGTAGCTCCTGCTGCTATGTGTCCTGGAATTCAAAAGTTTCACTGGTGCTGGGTGAAGGAGGCTCTGGTTTTCGTATGTTTTGAATAGAAAGTTTTGATAATCTTGCTTTTGCCAAGGAATAAATTTTCTTTAAATTTGGTTGTGAATTTCGATTCTATGAAAACGATTGAGTTGTTTCCATTTTTAAAATTATATCATATAAGAGCTTAGAAAGTTTTTGTTCCCTGTTATTCTGTTTCCTTTGTTTTTTCGTTTTATTGATCATGCTTCATATTTATTGTTATGGTGACCATATTTTTGTTTCGAGGGTTTATTTGGTCTTTCATGTTGATCAGATTAGGGTTAGAAAACCATGGTTATTTCTTAAATAACTTGGTACCTGGACTTATGGATGCATCTGTATAAAAAGAGTGATCAGATTCGGACTGGGATAGTAGGAGCAAAGAACATGGAAGTTAAATCACTGAGGTGTTTCCTCTTGTAAAGAAACAGGATTTAGTTCCATAACAACTCATAGAAAGTTTGGCTGGAACATGACTTATTGTAGGAAAAAGGACAATCTCACCTAGCTTGGAACTCATTTGTATGGTGGAATTGATCTCTGCCTCTGGCCTGTGTGGTTCTCGCATTTCAATGTTTATAATACAATTTCCTATTTTTCCTCGCATCACTGGTTTTGAAACACAAGCATCATGTAATATATTGTTGGTCCTTCTGCCAACATTCTTATCACCAATCCGACCAATGAAGATCTGAGAGTTCTGCTCATATTTCTACCCTTTATAAATGTTTATCCCACCTGAATCTTTGTGTATTCTTCTCCTTGTGAACTGAGAGTGTTAATTAGTTTTCTATTTGGCATTTGAGACTTCCTTTTCTGCCGGGGAGAGGGGGGGGGTATTTGGTTTTATTTGATCTTTTGCTGCTGCTCGTTTTAGCCTGTATCATTCTTGTCTAGTTGAATGATGATAAATAAAATGAACTATGTTAAAAGTTGATAGACATGCACTTCCATTAATGTGAATTGAACTTATGTACTGAATTATCATTGGGTTTCCTATTTGTGTGATTCATCCCTTTCATTCGTTGACTATGACTGATCTGCAACTTGATAGTTCATAACTCACTGCTTCCCTTCTTTTTTTTTTTTTTTGCTACTACAATAGGTGCAGAGAGGTATTTTGATCCCTGTGCTGTTTGCTTCCCTTTGGATTCAGCCACTATGTGCCCTCCAGCTTCTTCTCCGGTTGCAGATATTGATTTTCATTGTAGAGATGAGGAGCTCTTTATGTTTTTGTATAGACTTAATAGTGGATCCCCTCTCCCAGGAAATGTGATTACTGATGTCAATCCTTACATCTATTCACCATCAAATCTACCAGGTAAGAGTAATTATTCTTCAAAAAGGTGGTAGGATTTAATGGTTTGAATTATTCAACATTACTGTGCATTTTGCAATGTAGCATCATGGTCTGAACAATCCATCATCTTTGTCTTCCCTCTTGACAAATCATCATCCAATGTTGTGGCCTAATCAGACTTATGTTATCCTGATTGAATAGAATGTCTATTCCATTTTTAATCAAGGCTCATTTCTGTAGCCATGACTAATGGCTCCATGTATTGGATTTAATGATATGAAAAATGTCATTACAGTTATCTGCTAAACAAGCCACTGTATGTCACCGATTTGTGGTTTATGATCTCTTTTAATCGAGCATGTCAATTTTCATTCATTTACTGGATATTATGCATTATTGGGCATTGTCTACTGGATCTTGTGTATTAGCCATAACATGCTAGGTTTGCATGCCAAAAGTAACATGCTAGGGTGTGATTGACACTGCAATAGTATAGCTGATGAAGATGCTTATGCAGAAGACATTTGGTACTTGCTTCGTGTCAAGGAGAATGATGATACAGGACTTGGATTCTGGAAGGTCAAAGGGGAGGCCTGTAAGCTGTTCTCGAATTCTGCCATCACTGGCTGGAGAACTACACTCGAGTTTTTTGAAGGCCAAGTGCCTCATGAGCGTAAAACTGACTGGTTGATGCAGGAATACTGGATAACTCAGAAGGAACATAGTGAAAAAAGAAAGGCCAAGGTACTTAATAGAATATGCAACCCTCTCCTCTCATTAAATAACATTTGTATTTTATTCTCTCCTCCCAACCTGCCAGTCAACTGCCAGTTTGGTTGGACATTTTGCAGGAAGCCAGATCATTATGCAGAGTATTTCTGGGTGGTGAACAAGCTCTAGACCATGAAAATCAACTGATTGCTAGCCCCCACAGTGATACCCGCATTGACCTTACACAATCAATTGGTCCAGGGACTCTTGCTGATACAAGCCATGGTTCCTTGAGCAATCCTGAGGTGTGACCTTGATTGTGGCCTTTGTTTAACTTCTGCTTTGTGATTTTGATTTTCATGTTTCCTTTTAGACTGGTTGCTTGGACTTGTAACAGAGTCCTCGTTGAGGGATTGCTCTCTTATGGTTACATTGGATCGTAGAGCAAAATGTGTGAATGTCCATTCATGCTAGTGTTTCCTCCGTATACTGGTCTCCTCTTGTGCTGAATTCTAATGCTTTTTTAGGTGAACAAGGATGATGAAACTGAAAACATGGTTGCAACAGGAAGACCGCCAAATCTCCCGGTTGCAAATCTGCCTGAAATTGATTGTTTTTCCAGAGGTGACTACCTGGAACTGCTGGATCTTGATAATCCAGCATCACGCTCTTCTAGTTCAGATAATTCGAGTTGCATGACCATGTCATCGGATGAATACTTTGACTCAATTGCTTTGTTGCGAGACCTTGAGTCTGAAAGTAACCAGGCCCTGGCACAAAAGGATAAGGACTGCAAGCTTAGTGTCACTGCATCTCCCAGACCAGCTGAGGTGGTTGTGCTTCCAGCTTCTCAGGGTATGTCAATTATCAATTTCCCCGCTCCTGTGTACTCCTGCTGCTCGTCTCTGCACTATTCTGTGCTTTCATGGGAAATGCACATAATCTTCAAATTGAAAAATTCAATTGAAAAAAACAAACTAGTTCATGCATCTACCTTTTTAAGTTTTGAATGTGAGGAGGCTTAGACTGTTTTTATGGTTTATCAACAGGATCATATATCAGCATTGAAGGAGGCAAGCCACATGCTGTTGAAACTGATTCGTCCATGCATGGAAATGGTCATAGAGATTTAGATATTCAACCAGCAGTCAGCAATCAAGGTGCAAATCGCTGGGGTGAGGGTCCATCATCAAATTTTCATGCTGTAGGTGCATCATCAGGTGGCCATGTTGCATCTCCAGATGAAGAGGAGAAGGCTGCTAGGCGCAGAAGGAAAAAGTCCAAGAAGAAGTATCTGTGCTTCGTTCCATTTTACTTCTTCTTCTGATATCAGTTTTTCATTGAGCATTTGTATAAAATCAAATTATCTTAGCGCGTAAATTAACGATTCTTGTTTGCATAGTGCATCCTAAAATTACCAGGTCATCGACAGAAGCTGGTATAGTTAGGTCGTCAGGTATTTGTCTTTTCAAATGATCAATGGACTTTAGATTTTAAGGATAACAGGTATACATAGGTGGTGGTATTTGAGTCGGTCAGGATTTGCAAGCGGACACTGATGGAAAAAGATAGGAAACTGATTGTTCTGTTGCCTGCAAGGATCCAAGAATCCTGTGCATTTCCCTCATGTAAGCTTGTATTTGTGAATTATTCCTGTGATTTTTGTAATATAATAAAACTGCTGTTTTCAGCAATGGTAGCGTTGCGGAAGGCCTTGATTTTTTTATCAGAAATTATTTTTAATATTTTTTTAAAATTGTGTAAATGATTATGGTTTAAAATATATAAAAATAATATTTTTTTATTTTTTAAAAAAATAATTTTAAATTATATAAAAACTAATTTTTAATTAAAAAACTTAAAATTTTGTACCGTATTCTCGAAGAGTGATATAATGCAGTATGTATTATTCAATTATATATCTTGCAATTAATATACACATGTTTTATTTTAAATTTTTTTAAAAGATCTTGGTCAAAAAAATAGTAATAATTTATAGTTTTTATTGAATTTAATTTTTTAAATTGGAACCACAAAAGGCTATTGAGATAGAAGCCACATTTAATAACACTCATTTTTCTTCTTATTGATTTAACAAGACTGAATCAGACCTTGCTGTTGGTCCTAGTGCTGGGCCTTCCGCTACATGGATTTGGTAAGCTTTCATTACGTGTAGCTCTGTTCAGTCCACTGATGGGCCTTCCGCTGCATGGATTTTGTTAGCTATGCTCACTGTCTGATCCGAGAAGTCCTCTCATGAAACCATTTTTTTTAATTAATGTTGGTCTTCGAAATTAATTTATATATATCTTAATTAATTTTATAAGTTTCAAAGTTAATAATCATGTAAATTTCTAATATTCTTGAAATTTATGAAACTTAAACCAATAATTTTTAAAAAACAAATTTAAAACCTAACCAACTAAGTTATGTATTTATTAGACCCAATTGATGCAACTAACTGTGTGCTTGTCAGGTCTGGATTAATAGGTAAATTAAAGTTTATTTTAAAATAATATTGTTTAATTTTTTTAAAAAATTAAAAAAAATTATTTTGAACAAAATTTTATAAAATAAAAATAATATTATTTTAAATAAAAAATAAAAAAAAAAGTTCTTAGAGTTGAAATGGTTGGTTTTTATTAGTTAAATTCCAAAATTATTAGAAAAAAGTCAGTTAAAGGTCTGGATGAATATTTTTTTTTAACAGTGGATATCTAAATTAGTTTATATATATTTCAATTAATTATTCAAGATGTTGAAATTAATAATTAGATAAGCCTTTAATAACTCTAAAATTGATAATTTAAAAAAAATAAATGTAATGATACTAGGATTGTGGCTCTTTTAACTTATAAACTTAACAAGCTAAGCTATAATGATTTAATTTATTTTTGTTAGTTTTTTTTTTTTCCTTTTCTAGGAGCAAATTGTCCCCCCCGTGATTCAATTACCCTCATCCTCATGGTGCACGATGACAGTGGGCACAACAATTTATTACAGGAATCATTTGATTGGACCAAACTACGGTAATTTGGATAACTCTTTTGCCAGAAGTGATGATGGAAGGATGCGAGGTAATGGGACCAGCCAGCAACTTTATCCTAGTACATATTGCTGCCCGTAGCAAATCCTTCATGAATAAAGCCAGCTAACATCACCAAACAGAAAATATAAAAACTCAGGGGACCGAGCGTGTCGATGTGTGTTGTAGCCTTCTGATAAAAAATAAATAAATAAAAGGACCTAGAACAAGTAACTGTTGATCCGATTTATCCCCAGTCACATGCCTCCGCCTAACTCTTCGAACTGGCCTGAGTTGAAATCAAGTTGCCCGGGGGCGGGGGGGTTATCATCTAACATGTTCTCGAAGTGAAGGGCTCGTGGCTTCCCCTTGTCCTTTTTTTGTTTTGTTTTGTTCCGTGCACCGTTATGTAATGCGAGCTGATTTAGGGTGATGGGAAAATAGCATGTAACCGTATGTATCTCGAAGGCCAAAAATAGTAAAATACAGCAGGAACTGCAATTATATCAAACAAGCATGCCATGGGTCCAAGCCAGATGCACAAAGCAGGGCCTTTTTCCTTGCCTGGTCCCTCCTCAGGACTTCAGGAGCCAAAGCCACTCCTGTCCAGGCAAATGTGGGAGCAGGGGGCCGCGGTTCAGGTGTACAGTACCCCCTCGAAGAATATTGTGAAATGGGAAGCCGAGGGAATTGTCTTTTACGGTAATTACATGTACTCTCGGCGGAGGGATTTCACCCACTTACAAACCTGCCACTGCCATTTTCACCAGAAATGTTGTTGCTATTCAAATGGCTTCATCAGTGGATGACATTCTTTAAGATTTACGATGTGACGACAAACAGTGAAACACATGTCGCCTCTAATTCAATTCCATCTAGATGCATCTAAACCTCCCAGCAAGCTCGTAACCTCAGCCCTAGTCTCGAGCTAGCTAGCTAGCTAGCTGGACACTAGTGCCAGCGATTTAATGTCACCAAGCAAAAGGCTGGAAAACCGAAGATGTCACTTAATGCTAATGGCCTCGGTAGAGACTGGGATTAATTTGGAACTCTTGTTCTTTTTTTCATAGTAAAAAACATCATCAAGCCATCCATCGAGATCAATTATTCCTTCTCAATTCTAGCAACCAAACAATACACGACACGTGGTAAAAAATTTCACGAACTTTAGAATTACTTCAATTATAGACAGCATTCTAATTTGATAAGACTTAAATGTAAGTAATTGAATTTTAATAGCTTGAAGAATTATTTTAAATAATAAGCTAAACAGAAATCAAGCTAAATAAATATTTCAATCTAGCTAGATAACGAATTAAAAAAAAAATCATGAAACAACAACTTTCATCTAATAATCATGAAAAGAATCTCATAAAATCTTGTTCATTAAAATAATTAATTTAAGAATTATACATGTTTTTACTAACAAATTCATTTTATTTTACCAAACTTATCCTTAAATTAAGTGAATTTTTGTGAGTATAATATCCTTTCTTAATATATTTAAAACTAAAAAATATATTTAAAAAACATTGTACATAACCACACCATATATTTTTTTATTTTATTTGTTTTTATAATCCAACCGTGTTTTTGAGTTTTTTTATTATCTTAAATTTATTTTAATTGGTTAGTATTAAAAATAAATAAAAAATATTTTAAAAATGAAAACAAATACAGCCAGATCGAGAAACTTAGCAGCAGTTTCACCTCAGTGAAAGAAAAGGTTTACTACAATTACGGAATTACCACAACGGAGAGAGAAGACGGGGAAAGGAAAAGGTTAGTTACATGGTGGAGCCCAATGTCTTGTCTCCTTTAGCTATCACACCTTATCTGAGGGTTCCTACCTGCTGCCCGGTGCTACAGCTTTCACTCCTCCATTCTCTGGTATCTTCTAAATTTTTCGGTTCTCGCTCCCTGAGTTACTATCCTTTCAACCACTTCCTGTCGACACTTCAAGGCTACCGGGCACTGGGTTTTAATTTCCAAACCGATAGCTAATTCCGGTGAATTTAGCCGGATTGCATTCATTATTTGAGCATGTGTTTGCAAATCAAGAATGGATAAAAGTGATTATGTGCCCTGTGGTGCACTAAGTTATAATAATGCACTCCCTGGATTAAAGAATACATTGGGTATGGGACCCATAACTGGCGATTAACTGGTTTGATGAGCACGTAGGTCATGCGAGGCTGCATTTTTTTTTGGAAATGTATAAAAAAATATGTTTTTTATTTTTTAAATTTATATTTAAAATTAAGATATTAAAATGATCTGAAAAATATATATATAAAATAATTTTAAATAAAAAACTTAAAATTTAGTGAAACAATGATTACAGTGTCTGGCGAAACAATTAATCCAACTATTGATACGGTGCTGAAATAATAATGACCAAATACCTCTTTGTTTTTATAGTTAAAACTAGATTTTATAATTTTTTGATTTTTTTTGCTTGAAATTATTTTTTTTATTTTTATTTTTTTGATATGATGGTGTTAAAAATATTTTTTAAAAATAAAAAATATTATTTTTATATTTTTCAGAATAAAAAATACTTTTAAAAATAATTATCATTAAACTCTCAATTATTCAAATTATTGGTAAGGTAATCACTAAATAGTTTTATAATTTTTTTATTGTTTTGATGTGTTAGTATTAAAAATAATTTTTAAAAATAAAAAATATTATTTTTATATTTTTCAGAATAAAAAATACTTTTAAAAATAATTATTATTAAACTCTCAAACATTACCTAAACACTTGTTTAGTATTATAGTTTATTTATTTTTTAATTAAAAATATATCAAAATATTTTTAAAAATTTATTTTACACTCCCACATTAAAATTATAAAAAAATATTAATCTAATTTTTTTCAAATGAAGCACAATTTTAATACACACTTAAACGCAATTTCTAAGTGTAGTCCTAAACAGTCACTAGAATATTGACACCAGAAACGAACTGTTGATGGTGGTCAATTGTGGCGGGAAAACCTGGTGGGAAAATAAAGGCAAGATATATTTTTTAGTTATTTTAATTTTCAACACGGAGGCAAAGCAAATAAATTTGGTATTTCGTGGCTGATTGGACACCACCGACGGAAGGTAGCGCCTTCCCCGCTCGTGGGCCCCGCATATGAATTTCGGGTTTCCGTTACGTTTCCCTTCTGCCGTTTCCCTTTTCCTTTTTCCGTCCCGTTTGCTTTTGTAGTTTATTCTTAAAAGAAAAAAACTTTTGTTGTCTCTGCGATAGATAAAATTACCAAATACCATTTTTCCTTTGAGATTTTTTCATTTCCTTAAACAAAAAAAAAAAAACACAACTCTCCCTTGTTCTATTTCATTCATAGACGACTATAGAAAGAAACATGGACGGTGGTAAAATAGACCTGTTATTTTATAGTTTAGTTTTTTTCTTATTTATTTTTTTGTGTTTTTATTGTGCCTATAATAATTATTTTTTTTATAAATTACTATGTAACTTGGTCTATTTTATACTCATAAAAATATAAACTGTAATTTTTAAAAACATCAAAAATAAATATAAAACAACTAAACTATAAAAAAATAATTAATGGGAATTTCCCAACTATTTTTAAACTAGTTAAAGTCAATCTACTTACATTAGGAATCAATCATTATTAGTCATTGTAAATCAATCAAAATCAATTATGCTATAGTTTATTTATTTATTTTCGATTGCAGTTAGGGTTGGTTTCTATATAGCCATTATATGACAAGGTAATTTCCATATCCAATGTAAAATATTACTGTATCTATGCTAAAATCAAAACTTAAGATATATCTGTAGATGAAACTAATTGAATATAAACAGGCTCCTTCTCTCCGAAAAATCAAAGAAATTATTTTTCTCCTTGACACCTAATCGAATCATTAAAGGTTTGTTTTGCATAACTTTAATCATTTGAATCCATACCAGAGACGAATAACAAAGTATATATTAATTGCCACTCCACCTTATGTTTTTTTAAAATTCAATTCTTAACTAAATTGCATTGAATTATGTCTAGGAATCTCAACAGGACCTACACTTGATAAAGAAACATCTCGAAAATGAAAATCCCCGAGGCCAAGGAAGCGTTCCGAGCTTCTGTTTTTTAAAGTATTTCAAAAATATATTTAACTTGAAAAAAGTTTTAATTTTATTTGTTTAATAATTTTAACATGTTAATAAAAAGATAAAGATATTCTAATATATTTTTAAATAAAAGATATTAATGCAAAGCATCATGCACTAGAATATTAAATACATACTAAAAAAATAATTAAACAAAGTTATATTCTACCCAAAGAATTACTGAATAATTTTCTTCCGAGAATTATTTTTCTCGATCACATCATGATTCTTCAATTGAAAATAACAAGAATACAGGAAGGCACGTATCCCAATTCCTGCCTCACAAGAACCCCAATTTCTATATCTTCTTGTTCCATTCCTGTGTTTAGTCATTCGAAGATTAAAAAAAAACCAACTCCAAATTCAAAAACACCACAGCACTGGGAGGAAGGTCAATTCCGTCATTTCAAGTCGCACTCCCACTAGCCTCGCCTCTGGCAACAAGTCAAACAGTCAAACTCTCTTGAATAAACAATCCAATCCAAAACCGCTATTAAGGAAGTGCTTTTATGCATGATTAAAGACACTATCTTCTCTTTCTCACGTGTCGACCTCCTACTGGTCCATTCTCTCTCGTCGGGATTCATGGTTACACAACCAATAAACAAAGCCAGGAGTCACTCTCACTCTCTCTCTCTCTCTCCCATACAAACACAATACTCTCTCTCTCTAAAAACTGTGTTTTTTCTCCTACAAAAATCCCTAAATTTCACTACCACATCTCTCCCCTCGTCCCGCAAAACATTCACTGCCTTGCTCTGCAATGCACGATCTTCATTTCGAGTTTTGAAACTCGAATTCTGACTCACTGAGTTGTTTATAGATACAGTATTCATTATTAATAATGTTCGAGACAATGGAGAGTTCAGTCAATGGAGGAGGAGTTGGAGGAGGGTTTTCTCACTTACAGAGCTGTGGTGACAGCAGTGAAGAAGAGCTTTCTGTGCTGCCACGTCATACTAAAGTGGTAGTTACTGGAAATAACCGTACCAAGTCGGTGCTTGTGGGTCTTCAAGGTGTTGTCAAGAAGGCTGTTGGGCTTGGCGGGTGGCATTGGCTGGTAAATTTTTCGACTTTTTTTTTTTGGGTTTTAAGAATCCAGGAAAATGGGTTTTTTATGTACTGTCATCTGTGGTTTGGTTTGCTTTTGATTGGTAGTTTCTTTTGCAATGCAGGTCAATCTAATGGTTTTGGGTCTGGATTTTGTGTTAATGTGATACTATTTTATTGACCACTTGCTTTAATTTTTCATTTTCTTATTACAGAAGATAAAATTGTGGAGAATGAATGCTTAAATGTCAAACTTTGCAAGAATTAAGGCGTTTTATGGTAATTGGAAGCTATAACTAAGGGGTTCAGGAAATGGGTTGTCATTACATGTGGGTTTTTACTCATGGATCTGGTGTTTTGACGGGCCTTTTGTAATGTGGGACTTGAAATGTATGATTTTTGAGGTTTTTAGGTTTATTTTGATTGTTTTGGTGTTCTTTGTCTGCTTTGGATTGCTTCTTAACTTTGCATGATGGGGCTATGCCGGGGGATATTGTTTTGATTCATTTTTTAATGATACTCTTTTGGTTATGCAAAAAAAATAAATGAATAAAAAAATTCAGAAATTATCTGAATTCACTGGGACTAAATAATTTATTAGATTCCGTAAGTCTCTTGCATGCTTGTTTTTTCAGGCTTCTTTTAACATCTTCTGAAACTTGTTTTGCTTCCTGGGTTACTGATGGAATTCCCTAATTTTTCCTTCGAATACCCCTTCCATTTGTTTAACTAGTGTCTGTATTTGATATATACCTCTCAATTTTTGACTGCTGAAATTTGAAACATCTTTCGATGCGGGCGGAAGACAATAAAGCTGGTTTTTTAAAGAATGTTCCACTCCACTTTAGGTCATATCCTTCAAACGTTTTATCACTCTCTTTAACTGGTTTTTTTATTATTGGAAAAAAAAAGATTTGGTATTTGTTCCCATTTTCTGCTGTGGTTTGTTGTTTCTTTTTGCTTAGTGAAGCATTTTACCTTGGGTGAATTGCTTATCATGATATTTTTAGTATAATGATCAGGAAAGTCTAAAATATTTATCTTTGCCTAAACTCCAAAATGGAACTTATTTTATTTACTTCACTGCTTCATTTCAACCGCATCTTGACTTTTGCTCTCTGCTGATGTCTACCAACTTGTCTATGAATCAGTTTATCACCTGTATGGTGTCATTCCAGGCATTTGCTTTGTTCTGATATCTTTGATTCTCTCATCAATAAAAATACAGGTCCTGACAAATGGCATAGAAGTCAAGCTACAGAGGAATGCCCTTAGTGTGATTGAGGCTCCCACGGGCAATGAGGATGATGATGATCTGGAATTTGATAATGTGCAATGGAATGGATTGGATATGGGTGAGCTTGGTTAGTAAATCTCTCTTCATAAATAATGTCTTCTGATAAATTTTAGTGCGACTTGTTTTAGCAGAGCTCTGTTAAAAGTTGTGGAAACAATACCTAGTATTCAACAGAAAATAATCCATCAATCTCATGATTACCTTGCACTGCTGTGCTGGTTCATGCTATTTGCACCCATGTTTCTTCATAAACTTTCTTAATTGATACCTGTGTCCTTTCCAATCGTCTTGGTAAAAAACGTATGGCATTGGTTAGGGGAATCCTTAGTCTTTTCGGTGTAGTTAAATGTTTGCTTGGACTCTTACCATAGGTTCGTAATAGTATACGACTATATGCTATTATTAGTGAAAGGGGTAAAGTTTGGCACATAGGATCCATTCTGTCTCCCACCTTTTACTTTTTCACTATTGCTAAAAGCTCCCCTGTATCAGTTCTTTTTCTTTTGGTTGGGGCCACCTCCCTTTTAATTTTTGTTTTTTGTCACTCCTAATTTTCCAGCATCCTATGACACCCAAAAGTCCCATAGATCAAGGAATCGGACTCATAAATCAACAGGATCATCTCACAAGACTATGAGCAGGTCTCTTTCTTGTGACTCGCAGTCTAAGGGCTCTGTCTCCACACCTCGTGGGACCACGGTAAATAAAAGTTTACTTAGTACTTCTATTCACTTTTTTTTTTCTCCTTTCATGATCTGATTTTAACAAGAAATAACTACAGAAATGTATTAATATCTTTTTCTTATCGACTCTTCTCACTAAATAAGGTTGACCTCAGCAAGTTGGAGATGGCTGCTCTGTGGAGATATTGGCGGCATTTTAATCTTGTGAGTGTTTTTTTTTTTTAGAGGGAAACTTGAACAATTAACTCAATGCATTCTGTAGCATGCCCAACTTAATTAACATCATGAATTTTTCAAGGTGGATGCCATCCCCAACCCTTCTAAGGAGCAACTGATTGATGTTGTTCAGAGGCATTTTATGTCGCAGGTACTTGAATAGTTGGACAATTCATGCATGGTTTTCTGGTAGTTATTTCCTCGTGGTTTACTATCATATATATATATATATATTCATCGATTTAAATGTATTGTATGGGACTGAGAATTAGATGCTTTTAGGAAAAAAATAAAATTGGTAGGCAAGTATATTTGATAGACATTTTGCTCGTATTTTCGTAGTAGTTGCTGGCTGAACTGGAGATTTGAAAAGCTCTTGCTTCTCTGAAACACTAGTGTTCCTGGGTTCAATTATCAGGATTTATTTTCCCTTTTTTTGAAACACAAGGGTTTGTAATGGAAGGTTACTAATAGGTTTCGAGTTTTTATACAATCATAATCTGAACATTATGTCTTGTGTTGGTGCAGCAAATGGACGAGTTGCAGGTCATTGTGGGATTTGTTCAGGCTGCGAAAAGACTGAAGACCGTCTGCAAATGACCCTGAGACAGGGATATCTGAGTTTCTTTGTCCATGCTAACAGATACTTGGTACTTGAATACACCCCCCCGCCGTGTAACATATGTATCCCTGGCTTGCTTATCATCGTATCTATCACTAGGTTAGTATTTTACCCTGTCAGAGCTATAGAGGTTCCTTCTTTTTGTTAGTGTAGCCTATGTAGATATATGTAAAAACTGGTGAGGTGACTGGACCTCTAAGAAGGAAGTCCCTGTGCTGTCTTCTAAGCTTGGTTTAATTAATGTACTGCTGACTTTGAGGGAAATGGGTTTTCCGAAAGTGTATATATTCTTGGATCTTTGTTGGCCAATTTGATGTCCTCGTGTCAGGGGTCCTGTGCTTCATTAATGATAATCTGGTTAATATTGAAGATGAAATGGGAGCTGTCGCTTTAGATTTGGAAACTTTTAATTGGCCATGGAAAGCGGGGTCCACGGTGAATATTTTTTAAAGTGAAGAAAACCCTTAACAAATCTCCACTAGCTAGGTCAACAAAGAAGTAATTAGCTAATAATTAAAGGGGTAATTGCACTACAAGCATGTCTACTCTTCAAGTTTTTCTCGACGGATCACGTGGATTTTTATTTTTTTTCGAGACCACCAATCAAGTTCTTCTGTTGAGCTTCCGTCAATTTGCTTTTGTTATCCAGATTTCCATGTAACAATTTTGGAGCATACTTTCCCTCCCAAATGATGTACTGTTTCTAAGCATTTTAACAAATGGATTATTCATACTTCAAAAGAAGCATTTTGCATTAAATTGGCAGGGCTTCAGACCACTCTTAAGTCTTATCCATGACATGTTTTAATTTCATCTTCAAACATTATTCTCACTTCATTTATATACAAAATAGCTGCACTGAAGCATTTCTACAAGCATGTCATGTACATTGTTAGTTGTCTTAAACCCTATAACACATGTACGCAGATTGCCCCTAACACGATACTATGCCGATTACCCACAATACTTGTTGCTAGGTTTATCCAATCGTCATAACATGGAACTTACTGCACCTCCCTCCACAATAATCTGTTTCCATGATCGAAATCCGCGTCAACAGTATTTAAAAAAAGAAGATAAAGAAAGGCGATTCATAAACCCGTAACCAAATAGTTCTACTATTTCTCCTGCTCCTTTACAATTCGGCTTTAATCTGATCGATTTTCTCAACAAGCGAGGGATGATGACTCTGCTTCTTTCACATAATGGGGGGTCAATCCAAATGGAAATGTTACAGCCTCCATTTTTCTTCAAATGGGCACACAGCTTGAAATTGTTAATGGTCAACTTTTCATCCGTTCAATTGAAAGATTGGAAAATGAGGGATGGAAGGAATGGAAGCCTACTCGAAAACGCTCCAACTCATCTGGGAGGGAAAGTTCCCTCCAAAAAAGAAAAGGGTAAAATCATTATTCAGTATTTATTGGCAATACTGTATGAAATTGATGTATTCAGATGGAAAAAAAATATTAAAATCCATGTACTTAATTGAGAGAGAATGAAAAGTTAATGTCGTAACTATCCCAAACGTAGGGGGAAGGTACTGCCAAGCGCCATCCATTCCCTTGCCGAGGGCCAGAGGCAGTGAACGTCATTTTCAATTCGATTAAAATACATGGCTGTGGCTGTGCTAGCATGCTGTTGATTGGAGAAGGGTCCTTTTCTAGGCCTCGGAAGAAGTTCAGACATGATCTTACGTATCGGAACGGGACCCGTGTGGTTATTAGGACTATTTTATTGTCGGTATAGAGGACTGATCAAGGGATGAGATTTCCTGAACCCCTTGCTTTCGATGATTCCTGTGTGTGTTTAAATACACTGCTTTATCGTCTACAGGTCTACCCTCTCTCTTTCCAGAGCTCAGCTTCGTACCAATTTGCTTTGGGCCATGATCTGTGATAGATTTTGGTCACATTAACAGTGAGTTCGATGGAAAACTGTTGCCCTATTTGTATTTTCCGAAACTAAAATGATAAAAGTTCCAAGGATATAGCATGGGATAGAAAAATAATTGCAAAATGGCATATTTTTATTTAACCGCTAATAAAAACTGCGGTTCAGATGATGAAAACCACGGTTGAATTATCAAACCGCTGAAGAAAATAGCGGTTGCATCTTTCGTTTCCATGTCCATCATATTCGTAGATGTTCTTGCTTCCTCGCTGCTTTCTAACACAAGTTCCTAATTTTCTTGGACCCCGCGTTGATTGAAACACACATCATTTTTTTTTCTTTCCTTGATAAAAGGTAACATGGACGAGAGATGGAAAAGTAGCACTAACATGCATGTTGGATGAGCTCGAAAGCCGATGGTTCCACCTGATTTTCAAAGCAAGGCTTCAAAAATTCTACCCCGGCACACTAAGAAGCAAGACAATACCAGCAAATTCTTTCTTCTTCATCTTCTTCTTCATAGTCCTTATGATCAAACTTTATTCAACAGATTAAACCCCACAATACATTTCTTTTTCCCCTTTTGACAATTACATTTATTTCCACAGCATGGCAAGCTTAGTTTGATTATTGGAGCAACGGCTACACCAAACTGTTTTGACTGGTTTTTGCTATTATATTTTCAATCAGAGAAAATTATCTAGGTTGATCTTTGCCAATACATGCTCCAGGTAATAATCTTTCAGTGTTACGTCGACAAATCAAGCAAAAAAAAAAAAAAAACAAAAACTCTTGAGAAAACAAGAAAATAACATATATAGATACGAGAAAGAAAGGGGTTAAGAAATAAAAAGAGACGAGAGAAGAGGCAATCGCTAAGAGACTGAAAGCTTTACTGAACTTGAAGATTTGGTTATCGGTGAGGTGATTGATAATTTTTTTTAATTAATGTTAGATACTCAAATTAATTTATGTATATTTTAATTAATTTTATGAATTTTAAAATTAATAATTATATAAACGTTTATAGCATGAGACAACTCAAAGCTGATCGATCATTATTGTTCGGAGAGGAGGGAAATATCAAAGAGAAAGAGAGAGTAGAAAATGTGGTTATAATAAAAGGAGTCAATCTATGCGGGGTCCAAGAAGGTTATGAATTCTTACCGGAAAGGTGCAAGGATTAAGGATTAGGAAGAAAGCAAGAAAACTAAAAACACAACCGTAGTTTTTATCAGCAGTTTATTAATTTAATCATAATTTTTATTAACAATTTATTAATTCAAGCATGATTTCTATTAGTGATTATATAAAATTATATTATTTTTCAATTACTTTTTATATAGTATATCCTCGTAGCTTTAGTTTCGCCCGAAAAACCCTGCGGGGAAGGAAATGAATTAATGGTGTAATTAAACGCCTGAGGTTCATGTCAGGCAAACCCATGGAATAGAAGTTGACGACGACATGGCATAGATGCTAATTGCTGAAGGAAGTTTGATGCCGTAATGTTAAAGTTTCGGAACTCCCTTCATCTTTGGATTCCCTGCAGATTCTGGGCGTATATTTGACACAACTGAAGCCTCAAATTTCACACCTAGTCTCGTAATCAGCTATCTATTTTTTTAAATAAAAAAATAGCATTTTTTTTCTTTATAAAAAAAATGAAGAGCTAGATTTTAAAATGTGGCTAAATTTGATAAAAATTAAAATAACATCTTTGGAAAGCATGGTATCTAATTTTTCAGGGAGAGGAAAGGGCAAAAAATAAAAAAATAAAAAAAGAAATCATAAATACATTAAAACCTCGATGATAATAATTTCAATATTTTTAGTAACTAGACCACTCATTATCTTTAAATAATTTACTTTATTTATGTTTATTATTATTAATGACTTTATTTGATGTTTAATTTATCTAGTTATAATTTTTTTAAATGATACTAAAAGTGTCATCATCAAATCTTACATGTGACTATAATTTCTCATTTTTTTTTTAATTTTCCTATTCTCTCTCCTCTTTCTTCTGTCTTACGATTAAACTAAGATTTTTAGCAAACTATTTTATTTTACTTTCTTATTTATTATCTATGCCAGTTTACCGAAACATTTTTTAAAATTATGATAGAGAGGAAAACAAAGCTCGCCATGATTGTTTTCAATAAAGGACTATAAATAACAGACTCGAACAGGTTAACCCTCCCAACTCACAACCGGATCTTGAGCCGGGAGGACCTTATAAATATGGATTAATGCATTCCACCTACAAAATTGTCAAATGGACATCGTTATGTTCCTTTTATTCAAGTTTTTCCCTTTCCCCGTCGATTATTGATTTTTAACTGGGCTAGAGGGTTAGAGCGTAACTAGAGGAAGCCTTTGATTCATGACCTCAGGCCTCAACATCTTCTATATCTTTCACTGGGCTGACCAGAGCACTGGCGACAAGCAGGCTCTCGAGCATTGTCCATTAAGAACCCTTAAGCAGAATGAAGTCCTCATGGTATTCTCGGAAGGG